AGTTCAAACTGACCTTGTGGTTCAGTGCTTTTCCTACAGTGCCACACCCGGCCATAGCATCCTGCTTCTTCTTTGGGGAGTTTATTTTCTCCTTATTCCTAGTCCACATAGTGTCTGTCAAGCTCATTGCTTCTCTTCCCCCATGCTATATCCCTCACCCCTGTTCTGGGGGCTTGCACATGACCCAAGCTGGTCATTCGGCGTATTGTATTTTCTTGCAATATCCACAAAGAACTTACAGACAATATTTACAATTATGTGGTTAACACCATCTTGAATCTTGACATAGATTTAGATTCCATTTTAAGTTCTTTAAGTTAGTTCTCTAATGCTTACTAACCATTAAACAAGCATAATCATACAGCTAAGGAAATGTTTTTTTGTGTGATCAGGCACAGGTGTGAAAAGAATGTAGCCTTAAAGAGGTCTTGATGCAGGACCATTATCAGAAGTATCCTATCTAAGCAGATGTCAGGAAAATGGCAGCTAAGAACTATCCTATAGGTGTGGCACTGTAGCATAAGCTCTAGACTGCAAGGTTGGTTTGAACCATGAAGTCTGTGGTTCAAACCCACCAGCCGCTCCTTGGAAGCCCTATTATGCAGGGTTGCTATGCGTCAGAACCAACTTGATGGCACTTAACAGCAACAAGAAGAGCTATCTTAACATTTTGTGACTTGGGAAAGACATCTTGTGACATCATGATGACCACTCTGAAGCCCCCTAAAAAACCCATACTTTGGTAATTATATACTGCAGCCAAATCTTGCAACCCAAATACATTCTATAAACCAAACTAGCAAATACCTGCTTTGAGATGCCCCGCCTCTCACTTCTTTAGTTACATGTTCTCCAAACAGAATATTGCAAATGAAAGTTTCTGATTTAACTCTAAAAGTTGTGTTTATAACTGTGCTGCTTCAGAGTTCTTGGTTTCACTTCTTGTGCTCCACTCTGGTCCCCAGTTCAAATCACACTGAGCCTTAAGAAACCTCTTTACTTTAAACAGAATGCAAAGGGTTTTTTGTTGTTGTTAACAGTTGAAATGGACCAGGCATGGTTCCACCACTTACAGCATGGGTCATTAGATTTCCTCCTGAGAAGTGGGGTTCTGACTCAGGAGAATTGGTGTGAGGCAGGGGTCTGAGAGATCATGAACATCAAGACTACATCACAATCTCCCGAACATAAGGAGCATGAAGAAAAGTGAGTTCTGAAGTAGGAGGTTTCTCACTTCCTGATCTCAAAACCTACCACATAGCTACAGTGGTCAAAACAACGTAGTACTGGCACAACAAAAGACACATAGATCAATGGAACAGAATTGAAAACCCAGAATAAATCCACCTCCTGCGATCAGTTGATCTTTGACAAAGGACCAAAACACATTAAATGGGGATGTGATCGTCTCTTTGACAAATGGTACTGGCAAAACTGGAAACCCATTTGCAGAAAAATGAAAATAGACCCACATCTCACATCATATACAAAAACGAACTCAACATGGATTATAGACCTAAATGTAGAACCTAAAACTGAAAATAATACATGAAAAATTAGTGACAAACTTAGGGATTGATGCATGGCACAAATACACTATAAAAAATAACTGAAAACACACAAACAGCAGAAGAGAATAAATGACTGGGACCATGTAAAAATTAGACACTTATGTGCATCAAAATATTTCACCAAAAGTAGAAAGGGAACCCACAGACTGGGAAAATAAATTTGGCAGTGACATACCAGAAAGGGGACTAATACCTAAAATGTACAGAAAACGTCAACAACTCAACAAGAAAAAAACAAATAATCCAATTTAAAAAATGGACAGCCCAGAGTCAGTGACATAGCCACAGAGGACTAGAGTGGAGAGCGAGGCATCCAGCTGATAAGAAGAGAGGGCATATGCATAAGAACACCCATACTTGCAGATAA